GACAGGAGAGGGCAGCAGAGAGCACAGCGGAGACACTGCGCATGCGCCTCCCTTGCCCATGCAGTGCCTCCATTTCGGCAGCAGAGGGTAGTAGAGAGCACGGGGGAAACCTTGGGCATGCGCGCTCCTGGCGGTGCAGTGCCGCTATTTCGACGGCAGAGGGCAGCAGAGTGCACGGTAGAGACACTGCGCATGCGCGCTCTTACCAGGTGCAGTGCTTCTATGTCGGCAGCAGAGGGTAGTAGAAAGCACGATGTAAACCCTGCGCATGCGCTCCGCCCCCAACCCCGGGCAGGTGCCGTGCCGCTTTTTCAAAAACCGGGGGCAGTAGTGAGCACGGCGGAAACTGCCGAGCAGTGCGCAACAGAGCTGCACTCCTGGTTTCTAGATTCCCGAGGGCAAGCAGTGAGCACGGGGAACCCTGTTCAGTTGTTAGCCCCCGCCGGGTGCAGTACCTCTATTCCAGTAGCAGACGGCAGCAGAGATCACAGCTGAAACGCTGCGCGTGCGCGCTCCTACCAATGCAGTGCCGCTATTTCGGCAGCAGAGGGTAGTAGAAACCACAGGAGAAACGCTGCGCATGCGCACCCTCCGCCCATGTAGTGGCTCCACATCGCCCGCAGAGGGTAGTAAAGAGCATGGGGATACATTGGGCGTGCGCACCCCCCGCCTATTCAGTACCGCTATTTCGCCAGCAGCAGAGAGCACACAGGAAACACTGCGCAAGCGCGCTTCTGGCGGTGCAGTGCCGCTATTTCGATAGCAGAGGGCAGCAGAGAGTACGGGGGAAACACAGCGCATGCGCACCCCCACCCATGTAGAGACACTATATCGACAGCAGAGGGCAGTAGCGAGCACGAGGGAACACTACGCCTGCCGGTGCAGTGCTTCTATTTCGGCAGCAGAGGGTAGTAGAGAGCATCGGAGACCAGTGCGCATGCGCGAGCCCCGTGCAGTACCACCATTTCGACAGCAGAGGGTAGTAGAGAGCAATGTGGAAGCAGGGTGCATGCGCGACCCCCAGCAGTGCCACTATTTCCACAGCAGGGGGTAGTACAGAGCACGGAGAGACTGTGCGCATGCGCGGCTCCCTGCAGGGCCACTGCTCCGGCAGCAGGGAGTAGTACAGAGCAGGGTGAAACAGTGCGCATGCGCCGTCCCGCTGATGTAGCGCCGCTATTTCGGCAGCAGGCGGCAGCAGAGAGCACGGGGAAATCCTGCAGAAGTGTGCGCGACAGAGCTGCGCTCCTAGTTTCTAGATATCCGAGGGCAAGCAGTGAGCACGGGGAACCCTGTTCAACTGTTAGGCCCCGCCAGGGGCAGTGAAGTTATTTTGACACCCGAGGGCAGCAGGGAGCCCTGTAATAGCAGTGCGGATGAGCACGTTATTGTAGAACTGCTGTGTCGACATCTGAGAGCAACAGCGAGCAGTGCGATTCCGTGCGCATGCGCAGCCCCGCCGGTGCAGTGCTGCTATTTCAACACCGGTGGGCAGAACGAGCTCGTTGCGGGCCCATACGAGCCCCCACAGCCCCACTGAGGCCTGTAGACGCCCCTAGAGCTCATTGCAGGCCTGTATGAGCCCCCAGAGTCACGTTCAGGCCCATAGATCCTCCTAGAGCTCATTGCGGGCCTGTACGAACCCCCAGGGCCCTGTTCAGGCCCGTAGATGCCCCTAGAGCTCGTTGCGGGCCTGTACGAGCCCCCAGGACCCCGTTCAGGCCCATAGATCCTCCTAGAGCTTGTTGCGGGCCCATAAAGCCCCCGGAGCCCCGTTCAGGCCCATAGACGCCCCTAGAGCTCGTTGCGGGCCCGTACGAGCCTCCGGAGCCCCGTTCAGGCCCGCAGAAGCCCCTAGAGCCTGGTGAGGGCCCGTATGAGCTCAGCATGGGGCCTTATGAGCCCCCGGAGCCCTGTGGGGGCCTGTACGAGCCCATGGAGCCCAGTGCAGGCCTGTAGAAGCCCATATACCTTGGCGCAGGCTCCTTTGAGCTCAGCATGAGCCCGTAGAGCCCCGTTCAGGCCTGTAGAAGCCCCTAGAGCCCGGTGCAGGCCCGTACGAGCCCATGGAGCCCCACAAAAGCCCATAGAGCCTCATTCAGGCCCATGTAAACCCGTTTCTAGAAGATACAGCTAATTTACCTCTAGTCCAGCTTGACACTAGCGCCTAAAGCAGGTGAACCCTGCAGGCCGCAGGATTGAATTGCAAACAAGCTCGGGAGATATTGCTGAGGATGCAACTCCAGAACCAGCTAGAACCAGCCCTCAAAGATACAGCACACAATGGACAGAGGTAACGGTTAACCTTCAGGTAAGATAAGGCACTATGAAGCAGGAACATAGCAACCATCCTGGGATGCAGACGTGACCCAATCAAAAGGAAAGAGACCACTGACTCAGTAAAGAAGACTGGAAGAGACTGTCACAAGCAGGTGGGGAAACAAGACTGTAAGGAGTATAATTACCCCAAAATTTATTTGTTCAGGGTCCCTCTCTGGAGGCACCCAGCTCGAGCTGTTACTTTGCTGGACCGTCACATAAATAAATAATTAATTTCACTGCTAGATGTGCGTGAAACTCTGCTCCTCGGAAACCTAGGGTGGAATTGTTTCATTATCACCGTAGAGCCTAAAGTGGGCCAGTACGAGCTCAGCACAGGCTCGTACAAGCCTGTGGGGGCCAGCACAGGTCCATACAAGCCTGTAGGCCTTGGCGTAGGCCATTAGAGCTCGGCATGGGCCCATACAGCCCAGCAGGGCCCGTGCCCCTTACTCCTCCTGGACTGCTGGGCCCTTCCCTGGATGCCTAGCTCCTTTCCTGGATGCCTGGGTCCCCCCCGGTCACCTGGGTCGCTCCCTGGATGCCTGGGCCCCCTCCTTAGACACCTGGATCCCTCCCAGATGCCTGGACCCCTCCTGGGATGCCTGGATCCCTTCCCCAGACACTTGGGTCCCTTTCTCAGACATCTGGGTCCCTTCCCCAGACGCCTGGGCCTGCTCACCCGCGGGCCACCTCCTCTTGGCCCTGCAGCCCCCCCTGCAGCCAGAGCAGCTCCTGCTGCCAGGTGGCCCTGCAGCCCCACAGCACCACTGCCACTGCTGCCGCCGCCCAACCTTGGGGGGGGG